TATGAGTTGCATTTATTGGTTTTCTGAATATAACTTGTGACAACAGAACGCTCACTCATCCATGAGGTGTTTGGTGGTTGAACTGGATTTATGATTCTGATCCAAAGAGTTTTAAGACGTGACTCCTTTTCAGACCAGTTCTTCTTGACTTAAGTTTCACCCATAAACAACTGGTTTTACAACAAAACTGATGTAACTCATCCTAGACTGAACGGCTACATTAATTGGAATATTAATTTGTTTAATTAATTGATTAATTATTATTAATTGGAATAGTGTGATAATTTTCAGAGGGTTTACAGTGGTGCTTTAAGTCTTATTCAGAAACGTTTCTGACTGAAATCACCCTGTGTTAACCACAGAGCTTCAGTAAATAACACAGAAACATTTAGTTTATTCCTGTCCACGTATTTCTGAGGCAGATGTGTTCCAGCTGAGCACCTCCTCAGCTTCACATCGTTTCACATATATGTTAAGTAGAAGCTGGGATTAATCCTGTGTGCGTTTCTGTGAACATTTAAGTAATGAAAATGAGGAAGTTCTCTTTATTTAATCAAATAATCTTTGTAATGGATTTACAACGTGTCCAGGGTGTCCCCTGCCCCTCAGTGACACTGCATATGGGCACCAGAAACCCAAGGAAGAGGTGGGTAAAGATGATGGATATAATGTTTGTACTGTGATCATTCTGCTAATTACTTTAATCTGCATCATTTAAACACACAACAAAATAAATAATATCAAGTGTGATTGCCTGTTTAGGTAAGGACTTCCTGCAGTTTAAATAAATTGGTGTCTTTGACTGAAGTTTTACCTCAGCCTGACTCTTTTCTGCTGCATCTTCCTCTCCTGGTGAGTCGCTGTCTTCATCCTCCTCATCCTCCTCAAACACCGGCATCAGTCCTGAGCTCTGCTGCCAGCTTCTTCTGTCCACTCCTGCCTGAAAGAAAAACACAAACAAGAAAACAATTCATGGCTAGATTGGTGGAGTTTGTTAAATGTGATCTCCAGGATTTTTTTTTTTTCTCACCCTTACAAACAAAGCTGGGGGAGTCCAGTCTTGAGGTGAAGACGCTCCTGTTTGAACTGCAGCTGGTGAGTTTTTATCTTCTCGTTCCTTAAACAGGCTCTTCAGCTGCAGTTAGTGAGAAGTGAGGTTTTGCGTGAACATTTGGCTGACACTCATGGTGTCATGATGATGACATGGTGTCATGATGAATTTTATAATGTCATGATGAATATTATATTGAGTATTAGGTAAATTAATATTATATTGAGTATTAGTTAAATTAATATTATAATGAGTTATATTTTTTTTGTTTGTTGGTTTTGAACCAGTTTGATATGACTGTCGACGAAGGAGAGGGCCGGCACCGGAGGAGGGGCGTGCCAAAGAGACCATCTTAGCACCAACATAACTGGTTTGTTCCACTTTGGAGTAAATTGTTTGGGGAAGAATCAGTTTTGTGTTGTGTATTTTCTTGACTGATGAAGCCTTCTGGATGGAAGGTGAAATGTTTCAGCACAAAAAAAAAGAAACTGTCCAGAGGACCTGACTGAAAATTATTGGCTTATAATGAGTATTTTTAAATGAATATTATAATAAGTAACAGTTAAATTAATATTCTAATAACTAATGAACAGTCTGACCCTAGCGCAAATTAAAAATCTGACCCAGAAAGTGGCTCTTAAAAAACAAAGCCTGGCAGGAAATTTTATGTTAGTAGAGACATTTTAATGAAAACAACCAATTATTTTGTGTCAGCGGGATTCATCTCATGTTCAGCTCAGACATCTGCTTTTTTATCATTCAACCCTTATTTATACAGGTTAGTCTCACTGAGTCACAATGGCTCGTTTTCAAAAGAGACCTGTTTTAAACAGATAACATATAGGGTAAAGACAACAATGTACAACAATAGAAATCAATAAAAAATAAAAGTAGTGTTATAATAATCAAATTAAGGTGCCATATAAAACAAAACAGCAACATGTGTGCTTAGATTTTTCTAATGACTATCAAATGTTTAAAATCTCTTAAAGAAATGAAGGTGGACAACTTCAGTTCCTGTTGCAGGGTGTTCCAGGAAACAGGAGCAGAGTAGGAAAAGGCATTTTTGCCAAGTTCAGTCCACACTGAGGGGACACTGTAGGTAATGA